GCATCGGGCTCTCTGCTCCTTGGGAGCCTGCTTCTCCCTCTGCCTCTCTCTCTCTGTCTCTCATGAATAAATAAATAAAATCTTTAAAAAAATAAAAAATAAATGGATGTGGCTCTATTTTTCTCAGGTTATAAACACTCCGGAGGTGGGCAGTTGTTGGTGTTGGTTCAGTGTTTCCAGAGTGTTAAGGAAAGTTCCATGTGATTTTTTTGGTTTTTTTTTTTTTTTTTTGGACTTTCCTTTGAGAGATTGTTGTTACCCAGACTGCCAGGCCCTCTTTTTAAGCCACAAGCAAGAAAGAAAGTCAGACAATAGGGCATTCCCAGAAGCTCCACCCAGCCCTTTCTCCTTAAGTCTCATTGGCCACCTCTTCCTGCAAGGGAAGCTAGGAAGTGTAGTTTTTCAACCGGGCACAGTGCCAAGGCGCTTTTGTTAAGGAAGGAGGGAGAATGGATATAGGGTCAGCAAAGAACCTCCTGTACCCCAGGGAAGCTTTAGCATTTCTAAATCTGATAGTGGTGAAAAATGGGGGACAAAGGCTCAGTAAGGCCCGATTTGAGCCTGAGGCTATGACAACAGTGACTTCAGTGTGAACTCTTCCTCAATTCACATGCTTGGTTCTTAGGGTATGTGATGCTTTCTTGCCTTTTCTTCTCTTTCGTAGAATTGCCAACATATTTTCTTACTCATACGTGTCCTAGAAACATGATGTGATCTTGTAATGGGGGAGGAGGAAAGGTGCTGGAAAAGGAGATGGGCTTCTGTAATCCATTTTAGCCGGATCTAATTCCTGAGGCAGGACCCTGCACTAGAAGGAGGATAACCTGGGTACTTGTGGAAGGGATAGTGAGCCCTAACTTGTCATTTGTCAGATTTCTCTTTCATAAAATATGCGATATATCTATTGATATGGAACAGTAGATAGAGATGGTGAAATTTCTTAGAAAAAATATAAAGCATGATATAAATATATTACTTTGGGTCATTTAAAATTACATTTCCTTTTGTTTTCATCTTGAAATGCAAAAGTACACTTGGCAAGCATTTTGTCCTCTGCATCAAGGGGAGAAAAATATTTAAGATAATTCTGTAGTTGAATCTCTCACTATTTTCTTTCTCTTCTGATAAATGCATCTGTCCCCTTTAGTGTGACAGGTAAGAATCATTTGACTTTCCAGAAATTAGAAAGCACTTAAGAAATTTAGAAAATTTCTTAAGGTCTCAAGGTGAACTATTTGTTTATTATTTGAAACATGTTTTAAGTCTTTCTGTGATGAACTTCCCATTCTAAAATAATACCATCGATTGTTTTTCTCTTGCTTTATACTTTCCTTTGTAGCTCAGGTACAGAGCTCAGAATAAAGCCCTCACTTGTAATGAGTAACTTGTCTGAAGTCAGCATGCATTACAGAGATGCCAGAGCTTCTCTGGATTAGTGTTCTTTAGGACCTAGGATTTTTGGGTGGAATTAAAAGTAATCAAAAGGATTGTCACCTCTCAGAGGACACTGACCTGCCTTCAGGTTTTGAAAAGTGACTAATGTGAAGGTTATGTCCGTGCAAAAGCAAAAAGAAATAAGATGCATGGTAAGAAGCTAAACTCAGACCACCTTGCTGTCACCACTCTGTGTAGCCAGCGTTAGACATATTGACTAATCAGATGTCCTATTTTAGCACTGTTTTGTGAATTTTGGTCTTTTAGGCAGGGGTAGGGATGGGAGCGAAACAGACCTCCCCCTCCTGTCACTTGCTGTAGAGTTGGGCTCAGTCCAAAGCTCTACATTTGGCTCTGAAGGCAGTCTCTTTAGGGTGTGTCTGTGCAGAGGGACAAATGCTTCCCGGGTCAGCTGGGGTTTCCAGATGGCAATAGGTCAAAACTAAAAATAGGGATATAAAATCTTCTACCCTGCCCATCCCATTTGGCAGAGTGTGGTTTCAGAAGAGTCTGGAGGTGGCATTTCCACTTGCATGGGTTGATATCTAACAGCTTAAATCCTCTACAATTGATTATAGGAAGAGTGTCTGTCAAGTGAGAAACACTCCTCCTAGGACATGCTAGTGACTTAAAATATGAGGGTTGATTGCTGTAGGCTGACCTATCAGTGGTACAGCAGCCCCTACTGTCCTCCGTGTTGACTTTGACCCATCTGTATTGCTTGGAAAGATTGCGACTGGTAGTTGTCTAGGTTTGGATCATCTTCCCAAATATAAATCCATGAATTCTTTTTTTTTTCTCTAAACCTCCTTTTCTATAAAAAAAAGATATTTTATATAGTCAGTTTCATGCCCAAGTCAAAATATAACCTTGCATTTCTCTTAAATGACTGTAAGGCAGGACAAGTTCCCCTCCCTAGCATAGGGGACCTCTCTTTCTTAGAGCAAAGGGCTTTGAGGGATCCTGAGGCACAGCTAAATAACAGTTTGCTGAAGAAATTTAGGTCGCCTCTACCTTGAGCGCCAAGGGTCAGCCAAGATGAGGATCCCAGAATGTTCAAAAAGTTCTAGTAAGTCTGACTCAAATTCTAAGGATTCACCAGTCACCGTGAGGCATTAGTAGAGATACAAAGACAAATATGACACAATACCTGCCCTCAACAAATTTGTATTTTAGCAGGAGGAAACAGGTGTGGAAAGGAAACAGCGCCACTAAGTATCTCCAAGACTTTGATTAGAGTCAGTTAGGTTGGGGTGGGTGTAAGAGGGGAAGGAGGGGATGAAACACTTCGTGAGAATATGACCTTTGAGCTGAAGCTTCAGCTGGAAGATGCTGGCCCCGAATACCTGGTGGGGAAAAACATTCTTGATAGAGTGGTGCAAAACAGAAACATGAGCTGTATCTTATTTGGGAAACCAGTTCAGCTGAAGCATAACCTAGAAACTAGGGTTTCATAAAAGAGACAATCAAAGGGGCCATGAGAAGAGGGTGCCTGGGTGGTGCAGTTGGTTAAGCATTCAACCCTTGATCTCAGCTCAGGTCTTGATCTCAGGGTTGTGAGTTCAAGCCCCACATTGGGAGCCTACTCAAAAAGAAATAATAATAAAACAACGGGGCTATGACAGTAGATTATAGCATCTTGACTACCATGAACATTACATTTTTCAACTTGTTCGAAACAAATAACCATTAAGGATGTTTTAAAGGCAGAATAATAGCTCTAAACATGCCCATATTGATTGTTGTTTCCTACTTGGGTTTCCTCTCATTACCAATTTAAATAAAGCAAGTAATGATTGATCACCTACCAACATAACTACTATACTCCTTTTGTAAAACCAGTGGTACTCTGTTTCTCTTGCATTAAACCATCCACAGTATGTTTTCCTGATTTAGAAATGTGGAAGATGAGGGCAATACATTAATGGCACAGCTCGATTTATCAGTTTGCTTATGTGATTCTCAATTTTTAAACCGTCGAAGAAAATCACTAGAAAGGGAAGCATTCTATTTGAAAGTGCACTGCACACATTTTTATCTCGTTCCTGGGCATGTGACCAAGTGATTCGTGTTGACAGAATGGTTATACGCCACTGCACATCGCTGCCAAAAAGAACCAGATGGACATAGCGACAACTCTGCTGGAATATGGTGCTGATGCAAATGCGGTTACCCGGCAAGGAATTGCTTCTGTCCATCTTGCAGCTCAGGAAGGACACGTGGACATGGTGTCACTGCTCCTCGGCAGAAATGCTAACGTGAACCTGAGCAATAAGGTAACCTTGCTTTTTCTCTACAAAGCTTACAACAGAACCTTACCTCTCAGAAGGTCACTGAGAAACATGAAGAATCCAGGTCAAATCAAATTTGTAAAGCGTAATATTGCACAAAGATGTTTGCCAAAATGTTTATTATAGCAAAAACTTTGAGAAAATATGTTTAAGCAGTAAGATAATGGTAAATCAGTAATTGTAAAGTCTTACAACTGAGTAACATATAGCCCTAAAAATGCAGTCCACAAAGTTTTTTGAATAATATGAAATTTTGTTAGAATGTTAATTCAAAGAGCAACATTGTTACCATACCAGAACCTAGTAAGTAGTAAGTTGTAAATTGTCACCTGTTGATTTAGTCCACAAACATTTTGGGGCACTTCCTCTTTACCTGTCCCAGTTTTAAGTCAGAGATTACAGATACTGGAAATAGTGCTGCCTTCAGAGAGTTCATTAACAGAAATTTAGAGTAGGTATTTTATTCATAGGCTGGAAAGGTTGTTAGTCTTCGTATGTAAATTGGTAGTTTCAAGGAACTGATGAAGCCTCTGTTCCCCAAATTTTTCAAACTCCCCTGCCTTCATAGTTGACATCCCAACTCTTTGTGAAGAATTTTGTGAAGCAAAGCAAAAATCCAGCCCACAACTGGCCAGAGACATGTTAATGAAGTTACGACCTCTCATTGCATATACGGGGCTTGCTGAACTGTTTATTAATACCTAAGTCTGAGATCTGCTCAAAACACAGAACAGATGTTTCTAAGTCTTCCCTTCAGATAACACAAAAGCCGGCAAGAGTGCCCCCAAATTCTTGATAATCCAAACTCCCTGGCTTCTTCTCTCCCGGTGGTGATGGCACACCCATAGCTCAGATATTGGAGTAGAGTTTCAAGATAGCAAGAGTTTTATGATGACAAATAACAAGTAACTTAATTTTTTTTTTTCCAAAAATATGGCCTGTGTTTTGGAATCACAGGAGCTTTGAATCTCCTGGGTGTGAATCCTAAGCCTGATTTACTTGATGTGACCTCGCCGAGCTTCTATTTTGTCCTCTAGTAAATGAAGACAAAATATTTACCTCACAGAGATGTCATAAAGATTAACTGAAATAACATTCAGCACTTTCTACTTAAAGCAGAAAAAGAATAGTTATCTTAATTTTGGACTTCTCACAATTTGGGGAAAAGGTTATTCTGCACTAATCTGAGTTCCCAAGGTTGTAAATTAACACATTCTGTAGATGAAAAGACATACATGAGAAAACAGGGAAACCTTTTTTTCAGTTTTAGTATCTTGAAAATCCTTTATGATCATTGCAGAGCAAACACATTTTTTCATATTTTTCTGGTGTAACAATTTGATTTTCTCATATCTTTCTTTTTAAACATTCCTTTTAGGAATGCATGTCTCTGATTTAATAGGAATCACAGAGCAATTTCAAATAGCCATTATCAGGGTTTTTTTTTTCTTTTTTTTTGAGCTTTTGAATTTTGAGGGTTCAAATACTAACATAGAGACCAGGCTTACAATAATCTGCTACAAAATTCAACTTGTCTTAATGAGGTAGAAGACCTGGTCTTCTCAAATTGAAGTACATTCTGGCATCCACTGAGTCTACTTTAAGAGCCCAGAATAGTATAGCTCACTAATTCTCTCGGAGACAATATAGGCCTTAACAATTGGTTAATAGGTAAATATTTTCAGTAGATTTGATACCAAAGTACAATGTGAATTTTTTTTTCTTTAAAATCCGGCATTCAAAATAAATAAATAAATAAAATACTCCAGTCAACTAGTTGCAGTGTATATCCAGCCTTGCATTCACCTTAAAATCATAGACAGTTTTAGACTAAAAATACTTCAGCATTTCTCAGTGTTTGCTTTGGTAGACTGGACATTAGCGAGGGAATTCTGAGGACCACGTGACATAGTTAACCAAGGCAACCTGGACGTCATCAGCCACCTTCCTGAAAAAACTTGACATCAGCAGAAATACTTCCAATGAAATTTTAAAAAGCAGATCAGCTGGCTTCCCATTAGCACTGTGTGCCTTAGGAATTTGCAAGAACTTCACGGCACCTAGAAATGATCTAATATGAAGGCATTTGTAAATCTTTGCTTCCTTTCTCAGTTGCCATGGTCTCTATAGAAAGTATTAAATAAACCTTGAGGTGAAAACAGAACATGAGTAGAACTTCATTATGCAATAAGGAGCTCAGAGAGTTAGTTCTCTGTCAATTTGCCCTAAACTGCCCGAGTTTTAAACACCTGCCCATCCCAACTCCCCACTTAACACCAGATTTTATGTCCTTGCTAAAAAAAAAAAATCAATATTAAAAGAGAGACATAGCTTTTATGAAAATTGATGTTGAACTAAACCCTTCATTGTTTTCACTTTGTTCTTTTCTTATTAGCCACCAGCAGTTCCTGGTCACTTTAAGGAAAAGAGGCCATAAAGCCCAGTTACTACTGAAGTGTTAGCATTTTATTCGATTCACTTTCAGTTTTGATGTTCCTACCTACCTTCCCACTTGGATTTTGCAGACCACAAGTAGCTCCATTCCTTTGTACTGCTAATGGAATATTAAACAGGGCTGTTGATATTCTGAGTTGGTGGTGTTCTCTTATTCCAAGTAAATGCCATTTTTAAAATGAGCAATGGTTGAAACCTTATAAAAGATTAACAGGTAACTTCTGAAGTCAAATGGGGCTGTTTTAACCATCATGCTATTTTTTTAAAGATTTTATTTATTTGACAGAGAAAGACACAGCAAGAGAGGGAACACAAGCAGGGAGAGTGTGAGAGGGAGAAGCAGGCTTCCTGCCGAGCAGGGAGCCCGATGCGGGGCTCGATCCCAGGACCCTGGGATCATGACCTGACCCGAAAGCAGACGCTTAACGACTGAGCCACTCAGGCGCACCCCCCACCTCGTCACGCTATTTTTTAAAAATCTTTTTAATGGAAATCATGAAGATAAATGAAAGTTTTTCTTTATTTACCCTATTTTACCTAAAGGTGATTGCTTTGTCTTCTGATTTGATAATTTAGTAGATGATTAAGTGCTAGATGCTAGACACTGGTTATGTAAAGATTAAAGATACATCTGCCTCAACAAGCTCACAACAAGCTTGAGGAAGACAGACAAGAAAACAGAATTTTAGTGCAGAATTATGATGCTCTTAGTAGAGGTGAGCACATAGAAGGTGTGCACATAAGTGTAACAATGAGCCCTTTGAGAGACAAGGAGGGAGGGAGAAGCCCAGGAGAGCTGGGAGTCACCCCATGCCACAGCTAGAGTGGGGAACCCATGGGGGCAGCGTGAACATAGACTTTGGAACGTGAGAGAGGAGGGCACGTGCCAGAAGACATTCCCCAAACTTTGCTGAGAACCATCCGTAAAGAATCTTCAGAAGTCTTGAAAAGTCTTTAACTTAAAATAGGTGACCATGTCACTTGTACGAAATATTATGGCTAAAAACATTTGTTTCCTCTCAAGTAGAACATGGACAGGGTGGAGGGACGGGAGAAATAGGGGCTGGAGATTGAAGAGCGCACTTGTGATGAGCACCAGCTGATGCATGCAAGTGTTGAATCACCATCTTGTACACCTACAACTAATAGAGCACTGTGTTAACTAACTGGAAGTAAAATAAAAACTTAATAAATCAGTAAGGTAGAAGAGAGGACATGATTCTCAGATGATGTCAGTTTGGGTGATGCCAGTTTTGGCCCCAGCCTATTTTTCTTGGATTTCAATTGAATGCATCTGCCCTCCTTTCCATATTTCCTCTTTTCTACAGTTTGAGTGGGCTTCCTCCCAAATCCTGTAAACATTATTAAGAAGTCAAGAGCAAATGACTCGTCCTGAATAAATAATGTTCGGCATCTCGAGGGCTCTGTGCCCTTGCTGCTCTGGCATCTGATTCACTCCTCTCCTCTGACAAAGAGGACGGCTGAGGTTCTCATCGCATGGATGCTAGAGGAAGACACAGAAGGCCTCTGGGACGCAGAGATTAACTTCTGTGCTCATTTTAGGGGAAAGAAAACAATCTGGAAGCACTAACGCCGAGTTACTTTCTCTTAAATATTATTCATGAGAAGACACTTTAACAGCTACAGAGGATTTTGAAAGCGGAGTACAGTCTCCGTGATATTTTTCTTGGCCATTGGAACAACTAGGTGGCCTGCGTGTTCTGTGGTAGACTCAGTTTCAAATATTCAGTCTCATTAAACAGATACCCCATCTAAATGACCTGGAAATTCTCATGATACAGCATTCATTTTGCATTTCCCAGGCCATCTTTCCTACCCAGAAGCAACATATAGAATATATTTATCAGCTTTGGGTATTCATATTTGTTGGAGAAAATATTGTCATCATATATTAATTTATCATCATATTTAATTTATAACTAATTTTTCTTTTAATAATTTCTGCTAATGCCAATGCCAATGGTAATGTGTTGAAATTCCTGCATAATTTTGCAAAAGAAAAGTCTCTAGGGGGGTTTGGTAGGTATTTATTTACTTATTTTTTGAGTATAGTTGACATACCATCTTACATTGGGTTCAGGTGTACAACTTGGTGATTTGACAAGTTTATCCATTATGCTGTGTTCACAAGCGTAGCTGCCGTCTCTGTCCTGTCACATCACTGTGACAGTATCTTCGACTCTATTCCCGTGACTTATTCACTCCATAACTGGAAGCCTGGACCACCCCCTCCCCTTCACCCATGTTGCCGGTCCCTCCATCCGCCTTTCTTCCGGCAACCATCAGTTGGTTTTCTGTATTTACAGGCCTGATTCTGCTTTGTGTTTGTTTCTTCATTTAATTTTTTTTCTTTGCGGAAGTATTTTAAGGCAAATCCCAGACATTATATCATTTTATATCATTTTTTTAAAAAGACTCTAGTTTTAAAAAATGAACACTGAAGTATGTAGTAGGAAAATGATATAATGTCTGGGGTTTGCCTTAAAATGCTTCCACAAAGAAAAGAATGAGCAGGAAGTAGGGCTGGATGAAGCAGATGTAGGAAAACCTTGGTGATTGCTCAGTCTGTGCTGAGGACACAAGGTCCAGGCCACCCCCTCCACTTCTGAGGGTGTTTGAAATTTTTCATGAAGCCTGCAGGTAGCAATGTTGCTGCGGTGCTAATATGGAAACTTATCCTGCAGATTTTTTTAACATACCAATTCTAGGCTTCCTGTCCTAGAGTTCATAAACTGTGGCTGGAACATGCCTGTGTGCTGCACTCCCTTCTCTAAGATGACTGTACTTTGACTCTTTCTCAGAGTGGCCTGACCCCGCTCCACTTGGCTGCTCAAGAAGACAGAGTGAATGTGGCCGAAGTCCTCGTAAACCAAGGGGCAAACGTGGATGCCCAGACAAAGGTATACAAAAAGAATGTGCCGGTATAAAGTGTCATTTAGTGACTCCTATATGGAAACAATAACAATTTGTTGGGGGGGTGGTGAGGACAAATTTTCCATCCTATCTCTTACACATAGTATTTCAAACATATATCTGTGCAAGGGACACCAAAGTCTCTGGTGACAGTGGCCCAGATGCTTTTATCTTCAGTGGCCTAGGCACTTTATCCTGGCTGCCTGTAGATGCCCACCCGTGGTAGCGCTATTGATCCTTGTTACAACAGATCTATCCTTCAACGGCAGAGTGTAAAATCTTGCTCCTTTCTTAGCTGTTGTGATTGACTTAATGCATACAGAAAAATTTATCAGTGATTTGTGACCTTTAACTTTGTTCAGACGTAGTCCATAAAAAAGGATAAAGTAAGTTTTACTCAATTATTATTCACTTGCTACATTCCTTATGGCATGTGTGGTTGCTAGCATTTCTCTCTCTCTCTCAGACAAATAGCACTCTTCAAAAAGAAAAAAAAATGCTACTTAATATCCTATAATGCCACAATTTCAAACTCAGATAAGAAAGATGGATGTTTTGTGTCTTCATCAGAGATAGGACTTCGTATTAATCTCATTTCTCTGAGCATTTTCTTTCAGCACTTTTTTTGTTACCTCTTCATAGCAAACTTGCTTTATCTACTCTAAAATAGAACTCTCGTTTCTTTCTATGTGTCATATTTTTGACACAAAAGTGAATGCTTATTAAATATTGTGACTACAAACATCTTGGGTATCCTATAGATCGGTTCTGAGGTGTAGTGATCCTGAAGATATTAACAAATATAGAAGTATCACTAGGAGTTCGCCAAGTAAGAAGGTATTCACACATCAGAAGCAGACTGGATTTGCTGGCTAAGCACAGAGGGGACAGCCCGAGTAGACCGCACGCACCCTTTGGACACTGTTCGGCTCTCTAACTACAGCTGCACCACCCACACTGTGTTCTAGTAAAAAGAAGCTGCCTGAAAGAGCTCTGACCAGGCAAGATCCTGTCTGTGTTTTAAACTCTGTGTTAAAATAGTAAAACAAGCACCATAGTCCCTGGCCAGGACAGCCCTAGGTGGGACTGGGGGTAGGTAATTCCCTTTCTGGAATTTCTGTGTCCTTGCAGTCTCCATAGCCGGCTTGCTCAGCGATCCCTTCCTCTATGCCCCCTCCCACTCTAAAAAAATCTCGTTGTCCTTAGCCTTGAATGCTTCCCTAGCTAGCTGAGTGTTTAGCAGTAAAGACACTGGTAGCAGCCGAGTGATTTCTTGTTACTTTCCATTCTGAAAATAAAAGCATCTTCAATTCTGAAAAAAGAATCAGACTGGGGGCACCTGGGAGGCTCAGTTGGACTCCTGATTTGGGCGCAGGTCATGATCTCAGGGTCATTGGATCGAGCCCCACATCAGGCTCCACGCCAGAGCCTGCTTAAGATTCTCTCTCTCCCTCTCTCTCTCTGCCCTTGCTCATGCTCTCTCTCTCTCTCTCTAAAAAAAAAAAAAAAAGAATCAGACTGAATTTAGCTTATTATTCCTTATTTTATTAACGGTAAATATATCCATCTTGTGTTGTTTCATTTACACACAAAAACACAGACTTACACACTTTTTTTGGTTACCTCTCCCTTGACAGATTAAAAATTCTAGGAGTCCCACACAGGGTTAAGTTTCTCAGTACGTTTTTGCCTCTGCACATCCGAGGCGTACCCTGTCATTCAGTCCGGAAGTGAGATACCGATCCTCCAGGGCATATTGGGAGGCAGGACGCGGTGCTATGTGCCTTCTTGCACACGGGGCCCCTGGCTTAAGAGTCTAGGGCCTCTACCAGGGTCTCCTCCTAACTCCACCCGCCCACCTCAGGTCATGGTCAGTAACCATTTTTGCCCTTGGGGTAATATTTATGAAGCATGTTCCCTTTCCTGCCCTTTACAAGTGATGCCCTTCAGAAAACACCTCTCTGTCTCTTACAAATTCTTTTCTCTTCCTTTCTCATCTCAGCAAAGATCATAGCACCCGAAAAACTGAGGCTATGATTGTCCCCTTGCTGAGAAGAGCAGAATGGCAAGAGATGGGTTTTGGGACTTGCTTTCTAATCTTGTGAATAAAGGAATTTATTATATTCTGTGAACTTCCAAATTCTTACTAGTGAGATGACATCCCTGCGCAGCCTACAGGTGTTGAGTATGGTACCATCCAATTCATTGGCTTAAATTTAAGCATAGTAATCATGAAAACATCGAGAGCTCTTTTCTGTTGTGGGGAAAAGACTGGAAAATCCTGGTAACAGCTTTCATAGCCTTCCCACTGGCTTGCTGAGCTTCTATACCTCCAACTCTGTATTTGTGGTTCACTGAATCAGATCAGACTAAATTGTCCTGCTGGCCACAGGGTTTAATATTCAGTGTGGTTCAACTGAAAAAAAGCCACTCCTTTTGCTTTTTAAAAGGATAATCTCCTGAAGCATTTTATTTAGGCCACCCAAAATACACTGATTCTCAGCGGTACTGATTAGCAAATTAATAGTTAAATTATATTTCTTTAAATGTGTGTAAAATAATGAAAAAATTTATTTGATACTCATTTCACATTCATTTTTAGAGCTCCTACTAGATGCTAAATTCTTAACAGGTTGATATGTTCCTTGCCCTCAATAGTATTTATAGTCTAGAAAGGAAGATATGTGACAATAAAAATAATACAATAATATAATAATAGCAAAGTGTATTACCCATCTTCTCTGTGTCATGTATTAAGTGCTTTACCTTTATTAATTAGTTAAATCCTTACAACTACCCTAGAAGGCGGGTGAGATTGGTATCCCTATTTTACAGATGAGGAAACTGAAGCACAGAAAGTAGTTACTTGTATAAGGTCACACAGCGAATTAGTACAAAGCCTGACTTTAACCCCACATATAAATAAACAATTTTAGAAATATTGTCATTAACTGAATTATTTTACCAAGGGGGGGAGTGTAGAAGGGAGCTATAACTGGTTCAGTATCACAGAAACAAGAGAAAAAAATTGGGGGCATATCCCAAGGTGCTGCCAGAAAATTAAGATTTCAGAGGGCCTTAATATGCCAGGCTGAGCAAGTTCAGTTCAGCTTTTTATCCTGTTTGCACTGGGAAGCCTTGGAAGGCTTTAAACAGAAGAGTGGGGGCGGCTGGGTGGCTCAGTCGTTAAGTGTCTGCCTTGGGCTCAGGTTATGATCCCAGGGTCCTGGGATCGAGCCCCGCATTGGGCTCCCTGCTCAGCAGGAAGCCTGCTTCTCCCTTTCCCACTCCCCCTGCTTGTGTTCCCTCTCTCTCTGTGTCTCTCTCTGTCAAATAAATAAATAAAATCTTAAAAAAAAAAAACAAAAAAAAACCCAGAAGAGTAATAAGATCAGACATCCAGTTTAGAAAGATCCCAGGAGACCATGCAGAGACTGAGTTGGTCAAAGGAGTTTGGAACAGGGGCCGTTGAAGGCTACTGCCAAGGTCCAGATGGAGAATAAAGAAGGCCTCCACTTAGGGGCAGATGGGAAATTGATGAGCAAGAGAGAAATCGGAGAAATACTTAAAGAAGTATGAGTAATAAGACGTGAGGAAAAGTGAGAAATTGAGGATGAATCTAAGGATGTGAGCCCTGTGCCTAGGTGATCACAAGTACCATTCAAGGAGATTAGAAATAAAGGAGAGGAAGCTAGCTGGGGAAAGAAGACCAAGAATTCTGTATTGGGTATGTTGTATATTAGATGATTTAGGGGCTGTCTAGGTGGAAAAATCCAGTAAATGACTTAAAGTTTTGGCTCCAGGGTGTAGGATAGGAGGTCTGGACTAAAGATCCCAATTTGGAAGTTGTCAGAATAGATGTATTAATTGAAGTTGGGAATGCAGGTGTGATCATTGAGAAACAGCATGGAGGAAATCAAAGCCCAACCCACTGGGATCAATGATATTTTATAGTGGATGAAGGAGGTAGAAGCAGGCCTAACGAAGGGTAGGAAGGTGATCAGGAAAGAATATGACATGGACGCCAAGTCATGAATGACTGTCCAGGAGGGTGTATCAGGCGAGAGAAGCACTAAAGCACATCACTGGGTTGGCACGTGAGTGATTAGAAAGCAGGTCCCCTGGAACATGGGAGGAAGGGGGTGGGGAGGGAAGAGTGAGTGAAGATGCCTTCTTTCAAGAAGCTTAGCTTTGGAAGCATCTAGACCTAGAAAAAGAGACAAATATTTAGAAGAGGTGTTTTTGTTTCTAGGATTAGAAATATGTAAATGTATTTGTTGGCTGAGAGGAAGGTGCCCGGAGAAAGAGAAGAGGCTAAATTATAAGATGCATCAGAAGTGGGATAAGCTACACTAGGGATAGAGATGGCAATTTACTTATTTTTCTCCTATCATTTTGAAAATATTCATTTGCTTTGCCCCTTCTATAATACCTGAGATATTTTGCTTGTTTTTCTCCTGCAGTTTATTCCCACATTGATTTTGGAGGTAAATAATAAAGCAAAAAACTATGGGGGAAATGTTCAACGTTTTTTTTTCTTTTAGTGTGTTGAGACTTTTGACTATACTACCTTCAAGAAATTAAATACTGAGAGTTTATTTTCAGAGAGTTTATTTTCTAAAGGAAAAATTCCTGTTTGTACTTTTTCAATTTCAATTAGTTATACTGAACTAAAATTTTGAAAAAGCTGTTTGTGAGACTACCTTACAGTCTTCCATGGATCTTTACCTGCCATATTATCAAGTACTATTTCATATAACGTGTGACAATAGAAAGATGTTCCTTAAAACAATAGCATCAACACATAAAAATTGAAAACAAAATTTTTACCTGAAATAAATAAAATCAGGGAGTAGTCGTAGCTGTGAAAAAGGAAAGCCAAGGATGGACTCCTAGAGGACCACAGATTTTAGGAGGTTGGGCATAAGTGTGGATTTCCTACTCCCTCTCTCTCAAACCATTTGTGTGGGGATGCACCTGACTACGACCCAATAAGATATGGTCTTGTGGTACCATAGATCAGAAACACCAGCCTGATTACTCCATCTGCACCTTTTAGCTCTTCCTACACAATTACAGCCTTTCAGTATTGCCTAAAGGAGAAGACAACTCCTGCTCGTAAGGATGGGCTAAGTAGGCAACAGTGGAAAAAGAGGCAGAGACTGCTCAGTTAGCTGAACTGTGATTATTTCCTAGCCATTCCAGAAAGAATAGTTGGTCTTTCCAAAATCGATTGCTGCTAATTGGAAAGAATTTCTCAAATCACATCTCTCTGAGCATATTTGTGCAAGGTGCCATTTAATGTGGGAATTTTCTGGCCCTCAATGAATGGAAGAGCCCCAATTTGGTTTCTCTAAATGCCAACTAAATCTTCTTGGGCACACACATGTATTTTTTAATAAAATACTTTAATGCTTGTGGAACAGCAAGAAGACCAGTGTCCTCGAGTACAACAAACAAGGAAGACATTAGTAGGAATGAGCTCAGACATTTAATGAATAGGGTGTATAGAGAAGGGACCAGATCAGACGGGTCCAGTAGCCCATTATAATGACTTAGGGTTTTACTAGGAATTAGATGGAAAGCTATGAGGATGAGTAGAAACTGAACATTAAGATTCTTAACATGATTCAATTTCTTTAGTATACTTAGCACAACAGCCTTTAGAAATTGTTGCATCATTGCTTAGGCATACTGACTAAAAACCTAAAAAGTTTCTTTTTTGAATTTTTATTTTTTTAAAGATTTTATTTATTTATTTGACAGAGAAAGAGAGATAACATAAGCAGGGCGAACAGCAGAGGGAGAAGCAGACTTCCCGCTGAGCAAGGAGCCCAATGTGGGGCTCGATCCCAGGACCCCGAGATCATGACCTGAGCCGAAGGCAGACGCTTAACCCACTGAGCCACCCAGGCACCCCTAAAAACCTGAAAAGTTTCTTAATATTTAGATTTTAAAAATATTATCTGTATGTTTTTAGCTTGGGATTAATCCTCTACCACGGAAGTTGGGAATAATGTTACTTCAGTTAAGCTAATTGTACTGAGAACCGATTGGAGAAAACCTTTTGCATGCCTCCCCCACTGAGCGGCATTGTGATTCCTGATGCAATAGTCTGAGTTCCTCAGTATCGAGAAAGAAGCCTGCAAAGTTAGGCAAGTTAGTTCTGGTTACCAGGATAGGATCTCCTTCATCATGCGTGGAGCAGCTTCAGGGGCTGAAAATCAGACTCACGTACATGGTTATGGCAAGCTTTAGCAGTGGGAGTCTGGGCAGCACTGACTGTTCGGTTTGTGGAGCGGAATCTGACCAGAGTAAAACTCTTTAGGGCAGCACATCCTGGTGAGATGTCTTCACCTTCCACAATCAGCTGTGGTCTGGGCATGCCCTTTTCAAATTCAGATATACCCATTTGCTAGCACGTCTTAGTCAGTTTGGGCTGCTGTGACAAGAATACCGTAGAGGGGACAAACTGTCATTTCTCAGAGTTCTGAAGATTGGGAAGTCCTAGATTAAAATGCCAGCACATCCCTTGTCTGGTTTGCAGGTGGCTATCTCGTGCCTTCTTGTTGTAGCTTCACGTGGCAGAGAGCAGAGAGAAGAGGCAAGCTGTCTCCTATCTCTTCTGATAAGGGCACTAATCCCATTCATGAGGGTTCCACCTAATTACCTATGACCCAGTTACCTCCCAAAGACCCCATCTCCAAATACCATCACACTGGGGATTGGGGTTTCAGCATGGGAATTTGAGGGGATACAAACATTCTGTCTATAGCATAGAGTCCCCATAAAGATACAATAGTGCCTACCATATGAGGTACAGACCCTTGAAAACATGGATGCCCCACCTCTCCCCCCACGCACACTGAGAAGTGTTTTTAAAAACTCAGTCCTCTCCCTTTTGTCAATCTGGTGCTGCTAGTGTCCTCATAAACAGAAATTAATTGCCGATGCTGAAATTGCATGGTGGTGTCTGTTACAATGTGGCCATCTCGAAAAGTATCTGGAATATCCTTATTTTAAAAAATAATTATACACACATACATAATTTTATACATGTAAGATATATATTTTTAATAGATACAACTTATAATTCCCCAGGGGTCAGTGGATATTAATTTGGGAAGCAACTTAACTGCTTTGTCTGAATCAGTTGTTTTCAAATTATGGGACCCTAGCTGGTAAGCAGGAGACTTTAACTCCAGCATGTATACCTGGATCAAGTTCACACTTCTCAGACCTCCTGAACTCCCACCAGCCTCTTCTGCGTTCTGATAATCGTCTGTTACCTGGCATTATCATTTAGCCACTTCATGGTTTTTTTCTGCCTCCATTTTATGCTTTTCGAGAGTAGAGTGATCAATAAATCCTAGTCTGCATCTGTCCACAGAACATTCTTCCTGTCCCTCGACAACAAGCCACTAAATCGCTCTGTCCAGGCTGTTGACTGGGCCGTATTTCCTTCCCATCTTGAAAAGTTGGTGTGAGAATAAAATGAGCTGATGCAAGAGAGAGCGCTTTGGGAAGTTCAGTAACTACTTACATGTGACATGGTATTATTTTTATATCTCACACTAGCTCTCAGAAATATCAAGGGCATCATATATTTATGTAGGGGAAAAAACTATGCCAGCTCAAAAAGACAGGTTAAATAATACTTTTGCTTCTATTTAGGGTAGCTGTTACTGAAAGTATACTTATGAGGTTTCTTTTCTGAAAAATGTAATTACAGATGGGATACACACCTTTACATGTGGGCTGCCACTATGGAAACATCAAGATTGTTAATTTCCTGCTCCAGCATTCTGCAAAAGTTAATGCCAAAACAAAGGTAAAGACTTTTCTTCTTTGTATCCACCATCAAAGTCACTGATTTTGTGTCCGGGGAAGTAAGAGTCTTCCACCTTCCTTCCGCAGAATGGGTATACGCCGTTACATCAAGCAGCTCAACAGGGACACACACATATAATAAATGTCTTGCTCCAGAACAATGCTTCCCCCAATGAACTCACTGTGGTAAGAGTGAAGGGAAGGGAAGAGGGAGGCTAAGGGAAGAGGGAGGAGATGGACCTGGATGCTGGGATCTTCTTACATTTTTCATCATGCACCAGTGTCACTGTTTTACTAAATGGAACATTCAGTAGAATTCAGGCCAAAGGACAGTAGCTATATTGTGAGCCGTCCAGAGAGATGTGATTGGTGCTTCACCCTTAAAAACTACAAACCCATTGCCACCTAGTAGGAAATACATATACAGAAAGAAAAACATGTTTGTCCCCTTGATAACTTAGAATGTTAAGAAGCCTTTTGGATTCCATGTGTAGCAGCCAAGTCTCTGCTGTGTGAGTGGGAACAGGTTAGGTGGGTTTTGTGCAAGGCACGTCTCTAATGAAATAGTGTTTTGTGTATGACAGTGGGTGGGACCAACGAGACACCCACCTGCTGTTTAGTATGGGCGAAACACGTGGAAACACACAGACACCGAGACGCAGGGAATGACTTCTTAATTCCTTGTCCTCGTTTCCCTCTTGCCAGAATGGGAACACCGCCCTAGCCATTGCCCGGAGGCTTGGCTACATCTCAGTGGTCGACACCCTGAAGGTAGTGACTGAGGAAACCCTGACCACAACTGTAAGTAGCAGATGCTGGACCTCGCCGCCCTGAGAGCCAGCTCTCACGCCGTCGATTTTCTGGGGCTTTTGGGAGATGAACCTACTTCCCCCCATTCACAGACTAAGCACCACGCCTCCAAATGCTGTCGCCTCATTGCTGACAGCCGGCATGGCAGCTCTCGGTTCGGACATTGAGACACTAAACACTTAAAGTACCTTTTTATTTTTTTT